GGGGGAGTGTGAAGGATGACGGTTTCTGCCGCACGGGTAGTGGTGAAAAGAGTTTTGAAAGGCTTCTCCGCCTTACTGTGGGTGCTAAAGGAGAGTCACTATTTTGGTATTAGCTGCAATACTCAGAGGGTGCCTCTGGGGAGTGGATGTAGGTCTGGTTTGACGAACCACTATAAATCTGGGTGTCATTTATTTTTCGCTGCTTATTTACTTTTTGTGATTAAAAAAACTTTTTGGTTGAAAAACTTTTTCTAGAAGAACTCATTAACTAAAGTTTAGTTTATATAATTTTAAAGAGGTTAAAATTTTTTAAGTACCAATTCACCCCCCTCTTGGTTAGCCTTAGGACATTTAATTAGGCTTAACATCCTAATTCTTATTGAACAAGTTTCAACAAGTTGGTATCAGAGCTTTGTTTCAAATCGTAAGTTTAGACTACTTTTTGATAACAGTAGATGGCCTACTTTGGAAACAGAAATAAACCTGAGGGTTATTCTATAACTAGACCTCCACTGTTTAAAAATATTCCTTTTGATTTTTTGAATTAGAGTTGAAACACCTTTTACGGACTTGTCTACAATTCCTTTTTATTTACGTTCTTCTACTGTCTACATTTTTTTACAGTTCACTTAATTATCGCATTGTGAATTTTAGTTCAAAGAAGGATATACAAAACCAACTAGACTAGTTGATGGAATTAAAATTGAAACACCTTTTACGGACTAGACAGTAGAAGAACGTGACTTAGCACAACTTAATGCCAAATGCTTAAATAGTTTCTTTTGTGCTTTAAAATCTGAAGACTACATGCTGGTCTTCTACTTTGCAAAAATGAAAGGAATTATGGGATAGACTTTGTTATTACATATGACGGGACTAATGAGGTTTAAACAATCTAGACTTAATATCTTGTTGCATGATATGAACGTTTCGCATTTAAACCAAATGAATCAATTTCTGAAATGTACACATGATTCACACAAATTGTCACCTCTTTGCATGCTTTAGGTAGGGAGTTAACTAATGCTGAACAGATGTATAAAATTTTTGAGGATGCTTACCTACTGCTTATGATGCTAAAATTAACTGCAATTACAGAGTCTAAAGATTTAACATTATAATCCATTGAACCAATCTTCTTAGTTGCTAATGCTTCGACAGGAGTTAGCAAGAAAGATTTATGCAGGTGAACCTCAAAGCGGCAAGTAAGAGAACAAAATTCACAAAAAATGCATTAAAATGTGAGAAAGTCTGAAGTGAGGAATTTCACAACCTGAGGAATGAAGTACATTACTTTAATGACAAGACATCAGAAACTTTTTGAAGAGAAAGCAAAAGAGACGCCAACAATGGAATAGAGGTAAATTCATTAGAAATACAAAATTTTCTAATGAAGTTTTTGCTATGAATGCAGGAAACCTGGACATGTAGAAACTGATTGCCATTAGTCAAAGCCAATCTAGTAAGAGAAAGAAGGAAACACATTGTGAATAGGGCAAAAAAGAAGTATCAAGAGCTTTTTGGCGGACTCAGCTTCAAGATCATCAAAAACAGAGAAAGAAGAGGAAGTTTACAAATTTATGCTTAATGGCTTGCATACTTGATTCATTCAGATCAAGAAGAGGTATGTGACTTAACATATAATGAACTTTTTGAAAGTTTCTGAATACATGCATGAAGCATATAGAAGACAAAGAAATTGCATGTAAGCCTTTGTTTAGAATTGGAAGTCTTAAAAAGGAGCATGAACATAGGAATGATCATTCTTTATTGAATGAACCACATGAATTTCTTGATGAGTTTTGATGATTGAATAAGACCTTTGAATATTATACAATCATCCTTTGAGAAACTTGGAAATATTTTAAAATTTTTAAGGATGAAATCGGAGAGCAACTTTTATAGATCAATTAGACAAATTGGATCTTGGAAGATATGAATTCAATATTATATTTTGGAAGATAAAAGCCTCTCGAAGATAATAGGAATACCTCCAAAACTAATTTAACTAATCCATTTTGTATCCTAATTTATGCAACCTAAAGAATCAAAATGATGGTAAGACTTTAGGAAACCCTTTCCCTAATGTTAAATATAATACTTGTGGATTGATTGGTCATATAGGTCACACCTGTTTTAACTTCGGGATAAAAATTATATGGTGTGGAAACCTAAGATGCATAACCTAGCCATGTTCATGCATGCATCTTTTTATAAATTGCAAAAGGTGAACCAACTGTTTTTGGGTTCCCAGGCTCTAACGTTTTGATATTTTTGCATGATGTCTTCTCACACAAGACCTCGTGAGAGCATATGGTAACCTGGATAGCGGATCGATCAAAGATATGACTAGAGATTCAACACAATGATTTCGCTTTTAGAAGTCAGGATGGAGGCAAGGTTACACTTGGAGATAACATCACAAGGAAGGTGATTGGGTCAGATATGATTGGTACTATTAATAACTTTTTCATTAAATGTGTATTGTAATAGGCTAAAGCATCTTATTAAGTATAAGCTCAGGCTATGTGATAACGGGTATTGTTCAAATTTTTCCTACCTAGCTGCTATTTAAGCCTTAATAGTAAAGATGTTTTAAATGGAAAAAGGGTAAACAATGTCTATATGCTAGATTTTGAAATGCTTACATTCTCCTACTGCTTTTTGTCTGCAAACTGTATTGATGAGCTCTGGCTTTGGCATAGGAGAACTTGTCAACTCTAGCATAAAACAGAATCTTAGGATGAATTACACAAAAAGACTTAGTGAGAGGAATCCAAAAGTAGACTCTTACTAAGGACTACCTTTGTGATGCATGTCAATTAGGAAACAAAGTGAAAGTAAATCATTTTAAACATAAGGATTTAGAACAGAACCTTTGGATTTTGCATATGGATCTTTTGGACAGTTTGGAACAGTAAGCTAGAGGAAAGGTAAATATAGATTTGTGATTGTGCAATGATTACACGAGATTCCAGCTTGGGTTTATATTTCTATTTCTAAGAAGTGAATCATTTCGAGGAATTTAGAAACTTTGCAACTTGGATTCAAAGAAAACTTGGTGTGAAATTAATAAATATTCAAAGTGATCATTGAGAAGAATTTGAAAATGGACATTTTGATGATTTTTATAAAGAAAATGGAAGTTGATCCACAACTTTTTCTGCACTAAAACTCCTCAACATAATGGGGTAGTCGAAGAAAAATAGAAAATCTAATAGAAACGCTCGGCAATATTGGCAGAATACTCCATTCCAAAATATTTTTCGGGCTGAGGCGTTTAGCACTGCCATGTTTATGTTCTGGAAAAGGGTGATTGTGAAGATCAAAATTAATAAAACACCCTATGAATTTTAAAAGGTAGAAGCACCAAATTTGAGTCTTTTTGAATGTTTTTGGATGCAAGGTGTTCTTCATAATATTTATAAAAATTTTTTTTTTCGCCTTAAAAATTGATCCAAAATAATATGAGGGAATTTTTGTTGATACTCACAGTGTTGGAACAATCTTTTAGAGTTTCAATAAAAAAACATTTGAAAATTGAAGAGAACACATGTTGTTTTTTGATTTGAAATTGGAATTTTGAAAAGCCAAAATTGAAGAAGATGGATTGAAATAACTCCCAAAAGATTCAAAGAATAAATTTTGGAAGAAAGATGGAAAAAAAATTTGGAAATAAGAAAACCTTTGCCTAGAAATTTGAGATTTTCTAAAAACCACCCAAAGGAGTTGGATAATTAGTGAACTAGTGAGGGTGCAAGGACTAGGCACGGATTTAAGCAAAAGAAGTCAAATCATTTCAGCCTTCATTTCAAATAATTTTGAACCACTAATATTGTCAGCATTATTGGATGAATTTTGGATTTTGCGCCATGCAAGAAGAAAATTGAATCAATTTTGTGAGAAAATAAAGTTTGGGGGGCGTAGAAGAGCGGATGTCGGCAGAGAACCGTTCGTCCTTTCACACTATCCCAAGTGTTGGCAGAGTACCGTCGTCCTTTCACACTATCACCAGTGTTGGCAGAGTACCCTTATCCTTTCACACCCTCCAAGTGCGGGAAGAGAACCCGTCGGTTGTTCACACCCTCCAAGTGTCGACAGAGAACTGGATCTACTTCCAAGATCTTCTTCACAAGTCCAATCTAAAAGAAAAGAGAGAAGAGTGAAGTAATCTCAAACTTGAAAGTGGAAACACTTATCCTTGAGCACCAAGTGAAACCTTCACGCTCCAACGGCAAGAAACCTCCTTCAAATGCTCTCTCAAACTCTCTCCTTAACTCTCTTCTCAATAGGCACGAAGATCAATAACCAAAAAAGATAAGTTCCAGTTTAGAAAGGCCTATTTATAGAAGAGACAAGAAAAATCATCTAAAAACGGCAGATTTCAAGTTATGTTGAACATAATCGTCCAGTACGATCTAAAATAGTCTCGGACGATTCTACTTAAAAGCCTTGAAACGAACATGTTTGCATATGTGTACGAAATAATTTCATATACGCTAATCGTCTGTACAAACTAGGTTCATCCAGACAAACAGTTATCATAAGGTTGGTTCCAAAAACTTCAGAACTGACTCACAAAACTATCTTAAGTCATTTTGATCGTCTGTACGAAATTGCGATCATCTGGACGAAATTCATCTAGAGAGCAAATCATCCCAACGATAATTAATTTCGTTTGGGACGAAATTCTTACAGAGAGAAAATCTTCCCGATGATAATTAATTTCGTCCCGTACGAACATAACTTAGAAAATTTTCCTTTTGCAGTTTATGTTCGTTCCATGTGCTCTTATTGAGAGTAACTGACTGATCGTCCCGTACGATCCGATATCGTCTCGTACGATCAGTACAATTTTTTTTATGTTCTCCTTATGTTTGTGTGTATGTTTTTATTCACTCAATTACAATCATTTCCTCTCATTTCAAATGAAAATTTTAAGCTTCAAAAACCAAAAGTATTTCTTGCTGAATTTGATTTGAAGACTTCGTGTTTGAGAGTTTGATTCACCTGAAATGTTAGTACACACAAGAGCAAATATAAATCTTCTAAAATTGTTAGGAGATAACTACACATTTGAACAATAATATTTGGAATCATCAAAACTATACAAGTTACAAGAATGTAAAATATGCAAATAGCAACTATCTTAATAGTAGAGATTCCCTTACCACTCTTTCTAGCAAAAAAAGTATCAGATAATAATTGAGAACATAAAATGAATAAAACAGGCGACAAAGGACATCATTTCCTGAAACCACATTTTCCTTCTATCCAACTAGTTCTTTTCCCATTGATCAAAATACAAACTTTTGGATTGAGAACACATTGCAAAACAAGTTCAAAAAATTTAGAGGGAAAATTAAACTGAGTGAGAGATTGCCTTAATGTTTGCCACCCCATACTATCGTAAGCTTGTTCCATATCCAGATTGATAGCAAACATACCACTTCTAGCCTTGGACCATCTGAATTTATTAAACACCTCCTGATCCAATAACACATGATCAGATAAAGAACGCGCCCTCACAAAAGCTGCCTTATATGTTGATATGATCTTGTGAATGATTCTCTCTATTCTGTTAAGGAGCATCTTAGCAATAAGCTTGTAAATAGTTAAACAAAGGCTAATGGGTCTATAATGAACCGGTTCTTGTGGACTCTTAATCTTGGGGATCAAAACAATCAATGTTTCCTTCCAAGATTCATTCATAACACCCGAATTCAGGAACTGTTCCACCGCAAGCCAAATATCACCTTTGATTATTTGCCAAAAATCCTTTATGAAGGAGAAAGAAATCCCATCAATACCAAGATAAATACTCCTCTTAGAGCTCTCAACCACCACCTGCAGTTCTTTCTGTAAGAAGTCAGCATCCATCATTCTCTGGTCTTCCAAACTAATTACATTAGAAGGTCTCGGCCAACCATCTAAAATGCAGTCTCTGAATTTCCACTTATGTCTGAAAAAATCAGAAAAAGTATCAGAAATCACAGCTTCTTCCTCCGAAAAAATACCACTACCTGTTTTGATATGGTTAATCCAGTTCGAACTCCTCCTTGCATTTGCGACCGCATGAAAAAAAGAGGTGTTATAATTCCCTTCATCCATCCATCTAGCTTTGGCTCTTTGCCTCCACCAAGTATTGATCCTAGCCAAAGTAATATTAAGTTCGTTGATTTTAAATCTTAGAATATGCAGCCTCTCAACAGAGATCTCTCCTTCAGATTCTTCCAACTGGATTTCCAAAATCTCATCCTTAAGTTTATCTCTAATTACATTCAAATCTTTATATTTTTCCTTGCTCCAATAAAACAGAGCTTTTAAAGTCCTCTTGAATTTCACATTAAGAACTGAAGCCGGATCCCCTTTACAATTTCTCCTCAAAACACTCTTCACTAAAGCAGAAGCGCCATAATAAGAAGCCCAAACTTCTTCATATCTGATTATATTTTTGATATGCTCCAAAGGTTTAAAAACTTCCAAAAGTATCGGACAGTGATCCAAAGCCACACGCAACAAGTGTTTCACTAAAGAAATATGAATGTAATCCAAAGCAATGGTATTGATCATGAAGTTACACCAACTAAACCTCGGCCCCATCGACTTAACTTCATGCAAATCATTTCTAATCATGAAGTTAGTGAAATCTTTTGAACCTTGATTCACAGTAAATTTCTTCCCTCCTCATTTTTCATCTTGAGAAAGAACACAATTGAAATCGCCCCCTACCACAAAAGGGAGATTACCTGAGCAATGTTTCTCTAAATCCATCCAAAGAGATCTTCTAGTCTGTATAGCATTGCTTCCGTAAACATAAGCAATCAACTAGCTTCCTTTCCCTGTTACATCAAGCTTTCCCAATATCATTTGAGATGAAGTTTCCATCACTGAAAAACTAGCTAAATATTTCCTCCACAAAACCATCAGACCACCCGAAAGTCCAACTACAGGCACCTGAAAAAAATCACACTGCACTCCCAGAGACTTCAGTAGAATTCAATTCTCCATTACATTAATTTTCGTTTCCAATAACCCCACAAAAAGCACTCCAAAATCTTTGATAACCTCCTTAAGATATAGAGTAGCCTCCACCTTCTTGTCTCCTCTACAATTCCAAAAAAGAAAAGAAGACATTATTTAAAGATGGGGGAAGGTCCCCTAACCTTTTTAATTTTACCACCATTCATCTTCCTATGATGAGGAATAATATTCCCTGATCCAAGGGATTTGAGTTCTTTAATTAACTTAGCTTTCTTGTCCAAACATTGACTTCCTCCTTTAGAACAGATCGGGATTAGCAGCTCTATATCAGTTTCCTAAGACCTTCCAGAATCCTGTTTGCCATCAGACTCAGATTTAATCATCTCCATCACATTGCCAGGAGATAGAATCTCCCCTTCTTCAGCACCATTGCAATTATAAGATTCATCTAATTCAGCCAGCATATTGAATATGTTACCAACTTCCATTGCAGTAGAATCCTTAGTATCCTTATCCAGCAAACCTTTAGCAGCTGGACTCTTTCCCACTTGATTAACATTCACTTTACAACCTTCATTCACAGTCTTTTCAGTAATTTTTGATTTGCCCATATCATCAATAAATTCTATACCTGACTTTGGAACTTCCACATTCTTAGACTTCTCTGGAACTGAAATGCTCACCTTAGGAACAAATGTTCTCCTCATATTCAAAAAATTGTTCCTATTAACAAACCTTCTATTATAAGCCGTCTTCACCCTCTTCTTCTTCCCATGTTGAACCTTAATCCCGGGGTTATTATTGATTTCCTCCAATGCAGTCTTTGCACTCACCTCCTTCAAATGCCTTGTCTGATCTTCAATTACTTCCACTGGTTGTACAACCTTAGAACAAAGCTCCACCTTCTATTTCCCCTCCTCACAATCTTTTAAAGAGTGACCAATTATACCACATTCAGTACATATTTTGGAAAATCTTTCGTATTCAACTTTTTGAAAGAAATTTCCCGCAGATCCTTTAACCCATATTCCTTGAGGAAGCCTTATATCTAGTGGAATACGAATATAGTTAAAATGATGATTTCTTTGACTAAAAAGGAAGAAGTGTGTAAAGTTTTGCGAAATAATTAGGATGTTTCCATTTACGTATCAAATGGTCAATTAGGGGGTATTATGATAATGTGGAGGTCTGACTTGTATACTTTCTCAGTTTTGAAGAGTTATTCCTAGTGTGTAACTGGGGAGCTAAGATATTTGAAGAATAATTCTAATCTGTTGATTTCTATGGTTTATGTCGAAAGTGATTTATATAAAAGGTGGAGTTTATGGGAGATTTTAAGATCACTTTCTAGTTCTAATCTTCCCTATATCTTAGGGGGTGATTTTAACTATGTTTTGTCATAAGACAAAAATAGGGGAGGGAAAAAATTTAAATTTTTCCCTTGGACCTCAAGAGATGAAAACTTTTATCAATCATAACGATTATAATGATGTTGGATTTATTGGACCAAGGTATACTTCGTGTAACAATAAAAGTGGAAGTGCAAGAATTTTGGAAAGACTAGATAGGTGTCTGTTAAACACTAAAGCTCTTTAATTAATTCACCAAAATTCAACTAGACATTTGACAAGGATAGCATCGGATCATTGTCCGATCAATTTGAAGATCTTCAGTCCTATGGAGAAAGTGGAATATTTACAAAGGTTCGAAGATGTCTGGGCATCCTACCCAGCATCTATAGAAATTGTTCACCAGATGGAGAAATTACACTTAAAGTTTTATAAAATATTAAAGGCATTACATTATTGGAGTAGAGCCAAAATGATGGATTTGTCGGGTTTGAAGGATAGATTGAAGAAAGAAGTGGCTGACCTTTAATTAGAGGAGGCAATTGGCATTAGTCAGGATGTATGGCTGGCTATTCTATATATTTTTTACATATGGAAAACTGAATTCTAAATGGAAAGAGATGTTGGTGGTTCTGATTCCTAAGGTTAAACATCATATTGTTCCTTCTCATTATCGTCCGATTAGTTTGTGTTTGTTTGTTTATAAGATGATTGCTAAAATCCTTTTAAATATACTTATGTAAGTCATTCATAAAATTGTTATGGAGGAGCAAGTGGCTTTCATAAAAGTAAGGACTTTATCGGACAATATTTTATTGGTTCATGAATTTTTCAATAAATTTAGTTTTTCTAAATTTAAAAAAGGGTCGGTATCAATTAAAATTGATATGGAACAAGACTATGATAGTACGGCTTGGCTGACCCTTAAGCAAGTTTTGAATTATTTTGGTTTTCCTTTAGGATTTTCTAATCTTATATTGGAAGTGTTATGGATCCCAAATTTTGATTTATCTATAATGGTAACAAGTCGGATTCGATTGAGGCTAAAAGTGGACTTCATCAAGGGTGCCCACTATCTCCGTATTTATTTATTCTCTGCTCTCTTTTATTATCCAATGAATTTCAAAGCAATGGGAATCATGTGGGTATAAAAGTTGCTTCAAATGCTCCAAGGATAAATCATTTGATGTATGCTGATGATGTCATAATGTTCTCTAAAGTTAGTCTCAACCCGGTGAGGAAAATGAGAAAAATCATTTCTAACTACTTCTTATGGATGGTTCAAGAAGTAAACAATGAAAAATCCATTATTATGTTCGGTAAGATTGTGTGTATGAGAACTAGAAAACAAATTCTGAACCTTTTGAAATTCAAAGAGTTAAAGGAGATGAATTATCTGGGGATTAAGATAGCATTGAGAAGGTTGATGTCTTCGGATTCCTTGATCATCCTGGATAAAACTTCTTGCAAGATTAATGTTTTGGGTAACAAGCCCATTTTGTTACCAACAAAATTTATGCTCGTTAAATCTATTTTACAATTTATTCCAGTATTTTTTGTTTCTCATTCCTTGGTGCCTTTGAGAATTTTCAAGAGAGTTTATAAGCTTTATAGAGATTTTGTATGGAATAAGCATGGAGGTGATCATGGTATGCATTATATATCATGGTTCGAGCTTTGCAAACCTATTTTTGACAGTGAAAGAGGGCTGCATCCAACTGAATTCATTTCAGGACAATTGAGAGCTAAGTTTGCATGGAGTTTTTTTAATAATTCTAGTTCTTTATTAAACATATCTATCAAAGCAAAATATGGTGATATCTGGAACGCTGATTATAGGAGAAACAGTTTGGTTATATGGAAAATTCTCATGAATGGAATGGAATCCCTTAAACCAATGATGAGGTGGAGGATCTGCTCAGGCTCTTCTATTAAAATTTTCAAAGATGTGTGGATCTTTGACAAATGTCTACAGATGGCTAACATATATTGTTGTTAATGAGGATGAATTTCCAAAGCTGCAGGACTTCAATACATATGGGAAGTAATGAAGCTACATAGATGGTTTAGACAGAGTTTGGTTGACAACAAAACTCAAATTTAGATCATTAACAGTTATAATGATCAGTTAGAGCGTATACTCAATTTATCTTGTAGATCTATCTCGGCTATGGTGGCTGTGAATAATAGGAATCACAAAGAGAAGGAGTACAACAGATGGTAAAAAAGATACAGTTATAAGCATAGGTAAAATGTTTTTGGTGGCGTGTTTAACAATGCCATACCTCCCAATGATTTTTTATTTTATAGAAGAATGGTGAATAACAACTCTTGTCCTATGGGTTGTTTGGAAATAGAAAATATAAATCATGTGGTAGCAAATTGTACTTTGATTCATATGGTTACAGCTAAGTTGATTGAATGGGGATTCAATGTTTAATTGATTTCTTCATTTTCTAACCGTATATCAGAACTCGAATCTTTATCAGGTGGCAATAAATTCATTGGGAATTTATATTGTTCAATGGTGTTTATTTATTGGAAAGCAGGAATCAACTAACGCATGGAGATGAAGAATTTGTGTTGGGATTCATTGCATAAAATGCTATCAGCATAGCCTCTAATGTTTTAAAGATTAATTTTATTTCAGAAATCTGGGGTGCTAACTAGATTTGGCTGAATTGCTCTTATTGGCACCCTCCTCCTTCCAATTGGATTAAAGAGAATATTGATGCAGCTCTCTTATAATCCTATGAAGCAATTATTGTTGGATTATTTAGAGATCACAAGGGAAGGTTTCTTTCAGCTTTTGGATTGCAATGCACTCATCGGGATAAAGGAGCTTTGGAACTTTCTGCATTTTGATACTTGATGGTGGTTATTATTGAATGGATGATCAAAGCTAAAGGATTAATCATAGAGTGAGATAATGTAAATGTCATTAAATTTCTACAAACTTTTGTTGAAAGGGCATATTGGAGAAAAAGTAAAGGTTTATTTGAAGACCTATCATTCCTTAAATATTTTGTTTCATTTATATTTCATTTTACTTATGGATATTGTAATAAGTTAGCAGATTTCTGTGTTAACTTAGCATTAGAAGGTGATTTTTATTGGGGTGATCTTTCCTATCATAAAATTCCTCCTACATTCATTTCCTTATTGAAGGAGTAGGGTGATAGCGATTCTATCCCCTAGTAGTTTGTATCTAGGTTATTTCTTCTTTTATTTTAATGCAATTGGCATTTTCATAAAAAAATAAAAAATTAA